TTGAACTATTGTTACTTATTAGTAATTAAACTATTAATTTAGCTAAAATTAGGAGTGTTCATGGGTCGGTTCGGTTCAGTTGCAGGCTTTTTGGCCAATCTAATCAACGTAGTCAAGTTGGGGAGTTGGTCACTCGAAACCAACTAACCATTAGTGAAAACCAACCAACTCGGGTTTATTGATTTGGGTTGATTTTTGGTTTATTCAGTTGATTCGAAATATTTAAACTTAAAAATTAAATTTAAATTTAAAAGATTACATTGATACTATAAATTAAAAAAAATATATATGATATAAAATATTTTAGACTAAGAAATATGAGAATTTTCTCATTTTATTGTATTAAAATTTATATTTAAAATATAAAATATTAATATATCCATGGTCAGGTCAGTTTGGTTTTGGTTGGTTTTACAATTGGCTGAATCAAAACTGACCCAACTTGGTTGGGTTGGCAAATTGCTTAACCAAAGCCGATTGGAAATACTAGAAAAACTAACCAACTCGGGTTGAGTTGGGTCGGGTTGATTTGTTTAATTATTTAACAAATTAAAATATAAAACAATTGCATACTCTTACATGTTTCTATTGCTTAGCTTTTGCTTAACAAAGCCCGTGTGTCACATGGGTCCCCATTAGTGAATTTTCTAATTTAGAAAATTACTATTTATTTTTAAATTATTATTATTATTATTAATCACTATAATGAAACATCCCTAATTTTTTTGGTAATTTTTGAAAAATAATTTTGATTATTATTAAATTAGCAAACTTGCTAATTTATTAATTTTTTAAATTAATTTGTGAAATATTTTTTTTATATTTTCCATATTTTTGGTAATTGTAAAATTTAATTACTAAAATTTATTATAGAAAATTCATTATTGATATCAATAATTACTAAAAATCAATAATTAATTAAAATATTAATAAATATCATTTTATTAATATTTAATGATATTATCAGATAATAATTAAAAATTATTAGTAGTTTTAGGACATTTATTTTGATAAATATAATTTTATTTTTACATTTTTAGTAATTTTTGAGCAATAAGTAGTTATTGATATTTTAAGTAATTTCAGTTAATTTGTTAATATTTAATGATGTTATAAGATAATAATTAAAAATCTCAACAAATTTTCATTAGAAAATTAATTTTAATAAATATCATTTTTTTTACATTTTTAGTAAAAAGTTTTGTGTACTTTTGGAAAATTTCCTCAAAAGATAAATTAGTTTTGAAAAAGGAAATTATTGATTTACTTACATTGTAAAAGGAATTTATTTCCTCAAAAGATAAGTTAAAGATGAATTAGTATAGTTTTAGGGCCCGTTTGGCACATTTTTCCGCATGGTCTTTTGGCTGTTTACAAGCCGGGGAGACCGATTTTTGGTCTATTCCCGTTTGGCTCACAAAAGATCTAGCTGCCAAAAGACAGAGCACCGAAAAGACACGAAAAGCCCATGTCGGGCCGATTTCAGGAAGCTTCAAATGAAGCTTTTTCGCATCTTTCACGTTTTATTCTTGCGTGGAAAGACACAAAAAGACGCACGGAAAGACATGCATCTGCCAAACATGCTTTGGGCTGCTCTGATCTTCATGCAAAAGCTCAATATGTCTTTTGCTTGTCAGAGCTACCAGAAGATCTTCCCAAAAAGATGTGCCAAATGGGCCCTTAGAAAATTTTGGAAAAGGAAACTATTAATTAGCTAATATGGAAAAAAGATAAATTAGTGTAATTTTGTAAATAAAGTGTTTAAAAGAAAAAAATTATTTAATAACAAATTAATACATGTTTATTAATAAAACAACAAAAAGTAAGAAAATTTTTGTTTCAAAATTAAATCTCATAATTTGATATCCATTTTTATTTAATTTTAAAAAATAAAGTGATACAACAAATTTGTTGTGGGACTTAAAATAAGTTGTGGGACCATATAATAAGTGACAAATAAGCACTTATTTGTATTTGGCAAAAATAGGAGTGAATAAATGCTTGTTTTTTAAAATAAGTACTTAAAAAAGCAACCTGCGGGCTGCTTATTTTATGCACTTGTTCAATAAGCACTTATTCCATTTTTGAGACAAAATTGTCTCCATCATTTTTTCAAAATCATATTGAGTGTCTTCTCCATTTGAGCTCAAACATGAACCAACGGTAGAAATAGGTGACTCTTGGTTGAGAAAAATCATTCTAGGTACATGGATCTCTTCCTTTTCTTCTTTTTTTTTCTTTGTTTTGGGCAATTCTTCATAGCTATAATTGTCATTTTTGAAAATACAAGTACTTATTGGTTAAGTGGCTCACCAAACACTATAACTCAATTAAGTACTTAAAATAACTATAAGTGGTTTAGGAAAGGACCTCCTAAAGACTAATAAATATTTATTCAAATAAATACTTATTTTTTCAAACCATATATTCACCAAACATAGTCTAAGAACTGCAACTTTCATGTAGGATCCTCCTCAAACAATTGATGTAAGCTACATAGAAGCTACAAGAGAAATCGAGTACAATACCATAAACTAGAAGCTAATTAATTTTCATGATATTTTTTTTAAAAACAGAGTACTCTAACCTCATGATACTTACAAAACTAGAAACTTAATTCCAAGTATAATAATCAAACTATCTCATGCAACAAAACCATAAAATAGGGAAACAATGATTATTATTCCAAGTATAATAATCAAGGTTCATTCAACAATTCTCTTTTGTAATCGCTCACTCATTCAAGCTTGGAACGAAGGGGAAATAGAGAAGAACCCTAAGTTTTAATGGTTTGACGAAGAAAAAAGTAAAATGGTCTCAAAAAATAAGGAAAAGGGTAGTTATGGCATTTTAAAGGCATACATGTTGTGTGTGATATAGATAATAGATGTAATGCTAATGCCTAATGGCAAGGACTAAATTGATAGTTTTTAGGAGTTCAAGTATTACAATAGCAGGTTTGGGTATTAAATTGAGAATAACTAAAGTACAGTGTACTAATAACGAATTTTCCCTATATTATAATTACATTTTATGGGAATGGGTTAGCATTAGGGGTGCAAATCAGGTGAGTTGGGCCGGGTTTATGGTCAACCTGAGCCCAACCTGCATTGTAATTTGATGCACTCTGGTTGGACGGGCTTGGGTCGGGGTTCGAGTTGATTAATGAACCCACATATATACATATAAAAACTCAAAGAAAAGTATAAACCTTTTATTAAAAATAACATATTTATAAATAAATAATATACTATATATAAATAATTGATTTGACCACAATATTAAAAAACAATGTTCAAACAATATATTAGAATTGCATTTCCTCTTGGTAAATAAGTAATTTTTATTATCTCATAAATTAAATAATAAAAATAAAATATATTTTTTTTTATAAATTTTATAAAAAAATTGAACATACATTAATACTATATATTATTCATATTAGACAAAAATATGTTTGAAAAAATGAGAATTATTGTTAGTAAAGATAGAAATGGCTAAAATACAAAGAAAAAAAAATGAATTAATGTCTTAATCATAGTCAATTTTCTTGGTTAAATAGGTTAATGGTTCAACCAGTAAGGTCCTTTGGTTACTGATTATCATCATCATCATCATCATTTGGTACTGTCACGTGCAAAAATAAATTCAGAAATAAGATTTATTTTTATTGATGATGAAAATGTAATACATGATTTAAAATTGATTGAAAAAGAAAAATGGTTTTTTCACCAAAGTGGTGGGCTAGTGGTTCAACTATCCATGTCAAATGGATCAACACATGATGTTATTATTAAATAATAAAATACATAAAATTATAGAAAATGTAGAAATTTATAGATAATTTTGGGTACATTCTATAATATTATACATTCATCATATAACAAAAGTGTGATTAATGAGAATTATTTTCATTAATGATAGAAATGGGATAAAAATTATGATAAAAAATAAAGAACATTAATATCTAACACATGACCCCACTAACTATGTCAAATTGTTCAATGATTTAATTAGCTAGGTCATTATAGGCAAGTGGTTTGGTAGGGATGCAAATAGATCAAGTCAGATTTGAATAAGGGTATATTTGAATTTGATTCAATCTAAAGATATGATTGGATCTCATAAATATTAATTCAAATCTGAATTTGATTAATATGTTGGATATCAAAATCTGATACGACCCACTTTAATTTAAAGAAAATAATAAATTATTAAAAGGAAAAGAAAATATAATAATTGAAACAAAGAAAAACAAAAAATCTAAGTATTTTTTCAACTATTTTCATCATAAATAACATATATATTATATATAAATCATATATATAATTTATTTTACCATAATATTAAAAACCAATATTCAAACAATATATTGGAATTGCATTTTCTCTTGGTAAATAAGTAATTTTTATTATCTCATAAATTTAATAATAAAAAAATAAAAACATAGAATTTTTTATAAATTTTATAGAAAAATTTGAAAATGCATTAGTATTATATATTCTTCATATTAAACAAAAATATGTTTGAAAAATAAGAATTATTGTTAGTAAAGATAGAAATGGCTAAAATACAAATAAAAAAAGTGAATTAATATTTTAATCATAGTCCATTTTCCTGGTTAAATAGGTGAATGGTTCAACCAGTAGGGTTATTTGGTTGCTGACTTTATCATCATCATCATTTGATATTGTCACATACATACACTTTTCCTATATATATGTATATAACCCGACTTCTTGGGCCCAAACCCAACCCGAGGATAAAAAATCTAAGCCCAGCCCGTGTAAAATTTCGGGATGGGCCGGTTCGGGCTCGGGTTAGACCCGCGCAAGTTACACCCCTAATTAGCATAAATCTATACGTAAGATAAACGGATCTACCGGGTGAATGAAATCATTACCCTGTTTACCCGAATAAAATTCAAATTGGTTCCAAATCATGATCCGATCCATTGGATCGCCGGCGACTAGCCGACTAGTGTGAAATGCCGACGAAAGGGCATTCAACATAAGCAGCACCAGGCCATGAGTGAAACATAGGAAGAAACGAAATCCGTGACGGGGAGAAGTCAGACTGCGCTTTATAATGGCTATGGCTGCCAATGCCCTGCCCCCTCTAATTGCCTCGCAGCTCAACTACCTTCTCACTCACTCTCCTCTCCCCGTAAAGGTAAGGCCATTCTAACTTCTCACATCCAATTCCTTTACGATCTACAGTAGCAGAACGCGAAAAATGATTTGAAACTGAATTAGAACAAAAAACCCTTACCTCCTTCATTCTTGTTTAGGTCTAAATCCCAAAGATGCTCGAAGATTGAAAATTTAATTTATGTTTCTGATATTGCAGGTTGATCAGATATGGTCTGGCTGCAAGAATTCATTCCTGTCTGATCGATTCACTTTGCTTATACCCTTCTGCCTAGATTATATCAGATGTTAGTAGTCTCTATCTCTATTTTCTATTTGTAATCCGTATTTCTACTACAAATGTTATTTACAGTTCAATTTATTTCAGGGGATGTTATCTACAATGCACAGTTTCCATTGGCAGCACCAGATATCATATTTTCTCCGGAAGACGAAAACTTTCACCCGCTTCCTATTTCCGGGGAAGGAGGAGGGGAGGTTCAGAGTCCTAGAAGCAGTCTCCGTGACTGGAACAGTAAAGATCCTTCCCGGTTGATGTCTCTTATTCATGAGCTCAGGTTATGCTTTTGAATTCTCAAGTTCAATGCGATAGGTTGGTAATTTCGTGCCAAAAATTTATTCAAGTCTAAATTAAGAGTGAGCCCCTTTTTTCTAGGGATGTGTATATGTCCTATCAAAGAAAGCGTGTTGGTGAACTTGACGACGAGAGACTGAAGTTTGAGATTAGCACCATTCTTTCTCGGGAGGTAATCCTTATTATTCTCATGACTTATGTTTCTTATGTGTGCTTAAGGGTCTAAAGATAAACGGAAACACCATTCTTCATTAGTTGCGTTTTATTATAGAACAACATAGCCAATATCTTAAGGAGCACAATTTGACATTCCAATTGCTCTTTTTCTTCTCTCTGTCACGCACACATACAACATTACTGTGAAAAGGGATAAGAAATAGCTTGAGAAGGCCTTATTATTATTTTTCTTACCTTTTTTTTTCTTGTTGAAGTTTCTCCTATGTCAAGGGCAGGCTATCTTTAGTAGTTTAGATGAGAAATAAGCGTATTAATAGATATGGTTTTGTATAGTGGAATAATGACATATACATGAGTTTCTGATTGGATTGATCACTGAGAGGGTGGATGTACTAGTTTTGAAGAGTCCCTCCCCCGCGGTTAATATCATCATTTGATAATTGATTCTCCACTAGCTTCAGAAATTGCTTATTGCTTTCAAATTTGTAGCAATGTTGATTTGCCCTTCCTTCCCATTTTATAGCAATTCTTGGAGTTTTTTGAATAAGAAATTGAGAGATTGATGGGTTGAGGCAATCTCTTTCTATGAATAATAACTCCTTGGGTAACAAAGGGTGTTTTCATACATATTACTTCTAATGGTTGGTCGAGAACTTTGATTTCCAAATAATTTCTGTCATCATGCAACAGGGAATTGAAGTTGGTATTATTTCAGGGGCAGACAAGGTAAATTTGTTTTATACTTTTGGTTTTATATATTTATTTTTCTTGATTTTTGGAGATTCCCCCCAGCCCCTGTTAACTTTTCAGTTAATTATGTGGTCGCCATGCCTTTGAATTCTAGTGTAGCCAGAGGAGGTGAAGTTTGCTGTACCTTTACTAGACATGGATTTAAACAAACTGGTGGATGGGTGCCCCTGGAAACATCAGCAAAAGATCTATTTACAGGTCTCTCCCTCCTTTCCCCTCTCTCTACTCCCCCTCTTCCCCATGTAGTTGCCTCATGTAGATGCTGTTACTATATATCTGTTCTTGTAGTTATTTGGTTCAGACTTCAGAGAAATGCTTTAGCATGTTTCAGTTGGACCATATTGTTTGAAATATCAATATGTACTGATACTGAGAAAAATTTTAGTAGATAAACATTTGATATTGGATTTTTTTTGTTATATTCTCAAGGCAGTTGTGCTAGTTTTTGATGTTAATTCATAGAGACACAGACATGATTAAGGAATTTCATGGACTGAAGGTCTGCTCTCTCTCTCTCTCTCTGATGGATAACTGGAATTTATCAATAAAAAGATCTAAAAATATTTACTTTAGATGCCAAGCATTCTTTAGATTAGGAAGCCGAGAAGGAGCTGGCACGAAGACTTAGCTCCAATCCAGGCCCATGCCCAGCCAGTTCAAGGTCTAGACAATTCACGCTCAGCTCAGTTTAGCAAGCCGCCTATCAGGTATGTGTATGTGAGGAAGCCACATCAGCCAGGCACAACTCATACTATAACCAAGGCATGCAATGAGTGTGATTCCACCTGATTTATTGGGAGGCTATAAGTAGCCAACTTGAGATCTGAATAATAGAAGAGTAATCAGAAGTTTCCTCTCCTCTCCTCTCTCTCTCTCTCCCTCTCTACTTCCTCTCTTTCCCTTTATCTTTTTTTTTTTTTTTTTTTGTAAATTCCATTTCAGGGGCTCTCTTGAAGTAGCTCCAAATTGTAATTGGTAACCAAATTAAGATTAAATTTATCAGATTGGTGTCAGCCTAACACCTGATGCTGACCACCAGATCTGTTCCAGTTGAAGAGTGGGTTGATCAGGTTGAAGTTGATCTTCACAAGTTCTTCGATGACTTGAGGGATATCAAAGAGATGCTTTTTTCCATTGCTACCTAATTTGAGAAGATGATTAGTTCAACCGGAAAGGAGAGTGAATAGGAAGGATCTAGTAGCAATGGAGATTGAAGGAGCAATACCTTTCTTGGGTGGATCACTTGGATTGATTTTCTAAACTTTTTTTGGTGAGGATCCAATCCCTTGGCTTTACCATGCTGAGAGGTATTTTGAACACCACAAGACCACGACTGCTCAATGAAGCCCTATTGTTTCTGTTGGAATAATGTTAAAATAACTTAGTTGCAGATGTTAGGGTCTGTTTGGCTAATAAAAGTGTTTTTTTATTTCGTTTTTTATTTCTGTTGTCTGTTATTGTACTCAGGGGCACAAGGGTCTTTTCCCTTGTTATTTCTGTCGCCCTATATATAGTAAAATAAACACTGGCGTCGCCAGTACTGTTACATTGCAAACCTT